TTTTTAAAAAAGGTCTGTACAGTCCGTAATTTGATTGAAAAAGGACGAAAAGTTTGTAAATTGTACGGTATAATTTGGAGAATTTTAGAGAAATTCCAATTGCAGAAATTCAATTATTTTCAAAAGTAAGAAAACTTTTCTTAGAAATTATTATGTTGAAATAATTTTTAAAAATTCTTATCAAAATTTCAATTATCTTTATAAGTAATAAAATTTTTCTCTGAAATTCAATTATTATCAAAAATTTTAATACAACTCTTGCCGAAATTTTAATTATTTCAATAATTTCAATTATTTTCAAAAAATTTCCTAAATTAGTATGTATAATATAATTTCTTCAATTCATTATCTATTATTTTAATAAAATTTTCCAAAAGAATTCAATTATTTAAAAAAATGTTAATAAAATTCTACTCAAATATTCAATTATTTTAATGAATAATTTTTTTAAGGAATTCAATTATTTACAAATCCTTTATTTCACTTGCAATAATTAAATTATTTTCGCAAATAATGAAACTCGTTGCAGAATTTTTATTATTTTTATTACAATTTAAATCAAATTTCTCTAAAAATGTAATTTTTCTTAAAAATTTTATTAAAATTTATCGAAAGAATTGAATTATTTATAAATTTGTTGATAAAATTCTTTATAAGAATAGAATTTTAAAAAGTATTTAATTATTCAATAAATTATTTGTTTTTGTACATAAAAAATCGAATTCCAGTAAAATTTTGTGATAAAAATTTATTTAAAAATGAATTTCAGTTAAAATTTTAGATAATGGAATGTTTAAATTAATTTTTTTAAAAAAATTTAATTGAATTTTACTGGTTCGAGCCCTGCTATAGTCATTTAAAAAATTATGTTACTTTCTAACTTTTCAAAGCAGTAGAATTGCACAGTCAAATGTTTGAGAATGTTTGAATGAAATTTATGTACCAAATCTGTTCTTGATTTTATTTATAGGGTAAGTCCACTGACTTTCGTCTGAGAGTCGTTGCGACCATATTTTTAAAAAATCTAATTTTCATATATGTGAAACTCGATGATTTTCTGAGTTCATTAATCATAATATTATGTTATAAATTTTATTTCGTTTAATAATATTAATTATCAAAAGTAGGTGGTTCACGATGTGATTTCGTAACCTTAAATTTTTCAACGTTTTAAAAGACGTTATTATTCAAAAACTATTAAATATAAGGGGTTGGTACTTACCACAAATATAAATCTTTCCATTCTGCACGTTCTAACGACCAAGATGAACTAAAAATTCTATTATTTGTGGACGAAAATTGATTTTAAAAATTTTTTTATCCAAAAAAATTACACTTTTTGTATCACTTACAACTTTTTTGTCGGACCTCAAAAAAATTTGGGGTTTTGCAAATATTTCTTTAAGAACATAATTTATCTTCCATTGAAATTTGGCGAAGGTGTTTTTCTTTGTTTTCGAAATAATAATTATAAAAAATTTTGTATGCAAAAAGGTTAATTCTAAGACTTGAAGTTGATATTGACACTAAAATAACAATGCTTGTTGTTTATTTCAAGCATTATAATTAACCTTTTTGAACAAAATTTTTTATAATTATTATTTTGAGAACGAAGAAAAACACCTTCGTCAAATTTCAATAGAAGATAAATTATGTTCTTAAAGAAATATTTGCAAAACCCCAAATTTTTTTGAGGTCCGACAAAAAAGTTGTAAGTGAAACAAAAAGTGTAATTTTTTTGGATAAAAAAATTTTTAAAATCAATTTTCGTCCACAAATAATAGAATTTTTAGTTCATTTTGGTCATTAGAACGTGCAGAATGGAAAGATTTATATTTGTGGTAAGTACCAACCCCTAATATTTAATAGTTTTTGAATAATAACGTCTTTTAAAAAGTTGCAAAATTTAAGGTTACGAAATCACATCGTGAACAACCTATTTTTGATAATGAATATTATTAAACGAAATAAAATTTGTAACATAATATTATGATTAATGAAATCAGAAAATCATCGAGATTCACATATATGAAAATTAGAATTTTTTAAAATATGGTCGCAACGACTCTCAGACGAAAGTCAATGGACTGACCCTATATTATTATTTTTATAGGGTGGAAAGTCTAATAAAGAGTTGATATCGGCGGAAAGGTCGTCACCAAGAGCAGTGATTTACACAATTGAAGATACGATTGCTTCAGGGTTTATTGTTGCTGATTAGGGTGGGCCGAAAAATTTTTTTTTCTATTTTTTTAAAGGCCTCAGTCCTTAGGCTTCTATTTGGTGCTAAAATAGCGTAGAAAAAATCCCTGCTAAATTAATTTAAATTTTTCATGAGCGCATAGGTGGAAAAATAAAAAATATTATTAAAAATCACTCTTTTTGAAATAAACATTTATTATCAAATTGAGTATTCCTTAGCAATACATTTGATAAATTACTTCATACAAATATCATTTACACAAATATCGAAGAAATTTAGAAAGAAAAATATAATTTTTCCCCCTAATAATTTTTTAAATTTAGTCATAATGTTAAGTTCGAACGTTTGCGCCATTTTCTATAGCTTAATAACATATTTACTATTTTTTTAGAATACTACTATGTGTTTCAAAAATGTTTGACCCTGGAGGAAAATTGATATTACTCAGTAGAAAGAAATCTCTATAAAACAAGACAAAATTCACGAAATAGATTATTTTATTCTTCATATAATTTCCATTCATAACATATGACTAAAAATTTTTTTTACAAAGATATGAATAAAAAAAGCGTAAAAAACAGGAACTTTTGAGTAATTTTTACTAAAGGACACTTTGACTATAAATTTCATAGAAAAAATGGTAGGAGAAATCTGAAAAAATTCATCAACATTCCTTAATATCTACTTTCAACATATTTACAAATTGTTTTTTAAAAAATTTTAAACAATTGTCTACATATTTATTATTAAGGAGAAGTGCAATTTTGGCTTGTAATTGTGCTAGAAACTTCAAACAAAATTTAAAATTTTTTTAATAAATTTTTTATTCTAAATTTAATAAAAGAATTATTGTACAAGTGTAAATTTCTTTTATATTAACAATTCTTTTTTTCAGAATTTTTTTTTCCTTTGCATACAAAGTGGGCAATAAGTTTCAATAGCACCCTTGATCTTCTACTGGAAGGATTGCTATCCAGCGTAGCCTTTTTTTGCATGGCACCTGAAAATAGGAAAAATGACATAGCCATAAACGAGACAGTACTACCTGAGTTTTCGGAGGGTATCAATTACTTTTCCCTATTGAGTAACTTTTAAAAAAAAATTTAAAAAAGAATTGTTAATATAAAAGGTGTACAATAATTCTTTTATTAAATTTAGAATAAAAAATTTATTTAAAAAATTTTAAATTTTGTTTGAAGTTTCTATCACAATTACAAGCCAAAATTGCACTTCTCGTTAAAAATAAATATGTAAACAATTGTTTAAAATTTTTTAAAAAACAATTTATAAATATGTTGAAAGTAGATCACTGTAAAAACAAAGTCTTCCTTTAAGCCCGAAATTTGTCTTTTTTCAAGGTGTAAACGGAAGTAGACCATGTTGGCTGAATGTCAGTAATGATTAGAAGTTTAAAAAGAATACTCCCCAATTGATACAAGTAAGGTGTTAAATGAACTGAAATTCAACTGTAAGCTAGTAAGAAGGCAAAAATTTAGCCAAACCATCTAGCTAAATTTCAGCCTTCTTACAAGCTTACAGTTGAATTTCAGTTTATTTAACACCTTACTTGTATCAATTGGGGAGTCTTCCGTTTACAAAAAAAAAGAAAAAAGACAAATTTCGAGCTTAAAGGCGGTGTCAAAGTCGATGCGATTTTTCTATTGAAGCTCAATGCAAAAATCCAATCGACTTTGACACCGCCTTAAAGAAAGACTTTGTTTTTACAGTGTATGTTCATATTCTTGAATTTTATTAAAATAAACATATGTCACATTTAATTTCTTATAACAAACAACAATTATTAAAACTATCAGTGGAAATTTCTCTCTTTAAGATAAAGAATTAAATGCTAATGCACATATATATTAGGTGAAATTAAGATTATAAAATGTTTATAAACTTGTTAATGGGTCAAAATAAGTGAAACCGGCCACTTGAAAAATTTTTATCTCCAATTTTCAAGTTATCTATGATTTTTAGTAGATATATGAGTACACTTTTTCCCCCTAAAATATTTTTCAAAAAAAAATTTTATTTTTGAAGTAATTAGGTATTGAAGTTTTAGGTCATTTTATTTTCATTTTATTATTACTTTGAAACAAATAAAGATAATTAAGTAATTTTTTTTTTAAATTAAAGCTTAAAGTCTATACTTTAAAGATGAAATAAAGCGATTGCTAAAAAATGAAAATTTATAATTGTTATTAACAATTCTTTTAAACAATTGCAAATTGAAGAATGTTCTCAATGTTTTTGAAAGATTAAATTACGATATATTGATGCGCAAAACTATAAGGATTCATTTAAAAAAAAGAAAAATGAGTAACTTCCAATATTATAGAAATTATGTAAATTTTGCTGACAAAATGCAAGCAAAAATTGACTCAAGTTCCTGGAAAAAGATAAAATTGCAAACGAATAAATAAGATCTTCTTTTGTTCTTTTGTTTTGCTGCTCTTACGAGCAGCCTTAGTAACGAGTTGCTTCCTGGATGCTTTACCACCGGTGGATTTACGGGCGGTTTGTTTACAACGAGCCATTCCTTCGACGTGACAAGTACAAGGGAGAAATGAAGAATAATGCTTACGAATGAAAAAGCGCACATATTTATAGGATTTAGAAGCACATGCAACGATTAGTCAGAGAGAAGGGGAAACTAACACCCTGATTGGTCGGTCTGATCGTTGAGGGGAGCAATGTAAATCAAAAGGGAATAAAACTGCGCACTTTCACTGCTTAGCATCATTCCGAGTTTGTTCTCTGTTCAGTTTACAAGTAAACATTATTCTCTGAAATAATGACTGGTCGTAAAAATGAAGGAAAGGGATTTGGAAAAGGAGTAGCCAATCATTATAATAAATTGGTGCGTGATAACATGAAAGAGTTAATGCAGCTTGCCATCCGTCGTTCAGCTCGTCGAGGTGGAGTAAAACGTATATCGGGATTGATATACGAAGAGACCATGGATATTTTCAAAATATTTTTTGAAAACGTAATCCGTGACGCTGTCACTTACACCGTACACTCCAAGAGGAAAACCGTCACCGCCATGGACATCGTCTATGCTCTCAAGCGTCAAAGCCGTACTCTATACGGTTTAGGCGGTTAATTTATCTATGATCATCGTCATATTGAAAAAACAATCGGCCCTTTTCAGGGCCACAAAATTATTTTACGTTTGAATTTTTTTTAGAAATCATACTCACATTATACTTTAATAGAAATGCATATATATACCAAATGGTTAAACTTGAAATAATTTATATATTTAGTTAAATTAAAAAAAATTCGACGACACAATTCAATCAAACTTTTAAATTTGAGTCAGTAGAGTGAATTCACATTACACTGAGAAAATTTTGGGGACGTTGCGGCATTGACGAAAATGCATTCTTTAAGAATTGTACTTTTTAAATTATTTTATTACAATTTAAGCTCTAAATTATTTTAAAACTGATGTAGTAAAATTTTAATTTTTTAATAAATAATGTGAAAGAATTTTTGAAATTAAGGATAAACTTCCAAAACAGTTAAAAAACCATTAATGGAACGTTTAAAAAAAAACGACAATTACCAAATTATTACTGCAAATTTTCTAAACAAATTATTGTACCAATGATTGACAATTTTTACAATCTTGACATTTTACATTTATGATTTATAGCCAAAAATTTTATTTCAATTTTGTAAAATAAATCAACAAGCAAAGGTTAAAGAACTTTCGATCTCGCAAAAAAAGATTTTAGTTTTTCGATGAAAAGAAAATTAAAAAAAAATTCTTTCGCTATATTTTTAATGGAATCTATTACTAAAAACAATTAAGTATTACAATTTTAAGCTCTGAAGATAAAAAAAAGAATCTTGTATCATTTTTGTATATATAATAATAGTAATATACAAAAAGTAAATCCTTTTTGTTTTTTTTTTTTCAAAAGAACAGCTTGGATGTTGTGAAGAACACCACATTGGGCGATAGTGACTACAGAGAGGAGCTTGTTAAATTCCTCGTCGTTCCTGACGGCGAGTTGGAGATGACGGGGAATGATTGTCGATTTCTTGTTTTCACACAAGCTACATTTCATGCAAACTCTAAAAATTTGACAGCAAAGTATTCCATCACAGCTGCGAGGTAAACTGAAAAACAAGCACCAACTCGCTCAGCTCAGCTCAGCTCCCCTCTCTTTTTTTGTGAGTGGTAGATGGTTGCAGTGAGTCCCGTTTGATACGTTTTGACAGCATAAGACGCATTCTTAGCGCGGTCACTATAGAATCATATTAACCGAGTTCTAATGTATAACAATTTCATTTAAAAGTTAATTATTATTATTATTCTTTTTCAAATTTTCATAAGAAATTATTTAAAACTTCAAAAATTTTTTTAAATAAATATTTAAATATATTAATAGTTTTATAGCAAATTGAAATATTCAAATATTACGTATATTAAAATTCTTTCAAAATTTATTATAAGTATTCATACATGAATTATTATTACAAAATTTTATGAGAATTCAGTTATTGAAATTCAATTAAAATAATGGAATTTTTTAATTAATAAAATTATTAAAAGTTTTTCAAAATATTTATGTTTGAGATAAAAATAATTCTAACGTAAAAAATAATTGATGGCCCTGAAAAGGGCCGATTGTTTTCAACCATCGACTAAGAATTTTATTTAACTTAAACTTCTTGACAACACTTTTTGACACGGGCTTCCTCGCCTTGGGTGCCGCAGACTTCTTGGTGTTCTTCTTCTTCTTCTTCTCGACAACGGCTTTCTTAGTCTTGGCTGCTACGGCATTCTTCAGAGAAGATGCTTTATTGACCCTTGTTACGACACATTTTAATTTTTGCGGCAGTCTTAATATTGGGCTTGACTTTGACCTTGCTCTCAAATTTAGTGACGTTCAACTTGAAGGAACCTACAGCGCCCTTGTCCTGGATCAGAACATTGCTGGCGACTGCAGCCTTTATATACTTTCTAATAAAGAAAACCTGCTTCTCGACGTCGACATTGTAGGTGGCGACGATATACTTTTTTATGGCTTTGAGCGAAGAGCCGCCTCTCTCATTTAAAGTGGCGATGGCCGTGTACACCATCTCCGACGTTGGCGGGTAACTTTCCTTGGAGCGGGTCTTCTGCGCCTTCTCATCTTTCTTTAGAGTTAACACTGCAGGTACAGCTAGGGATGATTCTACATTGTCTGCCATTATAGGTGTAAAAATTTTTTTGAAAAACGACAAAAATTGTTGAATAACCTGATGATGCTTTCAACTCAAGTGTTCATACAGTAATGAACACATTCCCCTACGCTCGTCGACATAGTAATACGCACGGACGGTGAAGAAAGGCCCCAGTGCTCGTTGGCTGTCTCTCGTTAAAATTATTCTCGGTAACTTTTGTACAGTATTGAAAATTTTGTACAATTTTTTTTTATAATTATTTGCTCTTCCCCATTTGCAAATAGATCAAATTGCAATTATATAATTATTCTATTTTTTTAATATTAACAAAAACATAACAATAATGCAGTATAGTTGAAAGTATTGTTAAAAATAGTTATTTTCATCTTGCTAAGATGATAACGCTCGTCATTGGTTAGAATACGATGATAACGGTCGCTATTGGCTAGAATTCGATGATAACGCTCGCTATTGGCTAAAAGTATCGGCGACAACGCTTGCTATTGGCTAAAAGTATTGGCGACAACGCTTGCTATTGGTGCATTGTTTTGTTGTTAATTTATAATATAATTTAATTATAAAAAATAAATAAATTAGATTAGAAAATAAATGTTAATTTAAAGTTAGAGAAAAAACATCGAAATACAGTTTAATTAAAAAAAGTTTTTGTTTATTGATAAATTTTTTTTATTTTTAAATTAAAAATAATAATTGACACGAAAATACATCTTTGTGCGCGCGCAGTCATGCTACGCCATTTTTGTTCCCTTCTTGATAGCGTTCGTAGTGCTGTGATGAATGTGAATTGAAGAAATTGTAAAAATTGAAAAAAACAATTACACGCAAAGTGAATTTTTATGGTGTTAAGAGGTAAGTTTTTTGTAATTTTTTATTTTTATTTATTATTATTATTATGTTAATATATGAACCCTACTAAAAAAATAATGACAAAACATCAGAAAAATAATCAGAATTTCTGGTGTTTTTGAGCAGTTTTTCTAACAATTGCAGCTCAAAAACATGAAAAAGTAATAGAACCCTTCAAAATACTGCCAAGAATCATGAAAACTTTTATGACTGCCACCGAATTTTTTTATAGCATAGCAAAAAATCTTTTTTGGGGATGTATTCTTGTTCCTTTATGTAAAAAGGTCGTCACGCCTTTTATAACTTGGGTAGAAAATCGAAAAACCATTATACCTTTTTTAATGTTTAAAATTATTTTTGTTTATTTCAACATTATATTTAATGTTTATAAACTCAGAAAAAAAAAAAAAAAAAAAAAAAAAAAAAAAAAAAAAGTCAAAAACGTTTTTTTTTGCTTAAACTATGGAACAATAATATTAACTTCATTATGTATTTTCAAAAAAATAAGCAACTTGAAGAATATTAAATATTCACAATTTATCAAGTCTCATTATTTTCTTAAAGAATTCTATTTAATTCAACACAAAGGAACAAAGTTTATTTATTGTTTAACTTCGAAACACATTTTTTTGTTAAAAAAAATTCATATTTCTATTCAAATAGTCAATTGACAATTTTATAATAAATCTATGAAACAGTGTTTTTTCAATTTAAACTACATGTAAAAATTTATCAGCTTTGAGGTACCTTTAAATATTAATTAAAATCAAAATAAAAAAATACGTGTCTATTTATTTTTTATTTGTAACAAAATGAGGGGCGAGAACGGTAAAAAGTCGAAAATTATATTTAAATGATTTATAATATGTATTTGTCTGCTTTTTGTCTGATTTATAATTAACATATTTATGGATATTTCTATTTATTTATTTGTTTATATTTATACACTCGTATTAAGGGCATTTGAACGTTTATAATATTTTTTAAAAACTATTGACCAGATAACCGGAAAAATTTTTATTGTAAATCTTTGACGTGATAATGGATCAAATGCCCTTAAGCTATCTTAGCTATAATACAGATGTACAGGTATTATTAATTCTTTATTTTTTTCCAGGTCCCCATCAAGGAAATTTGGTTTATAAGGAATATCTATTGGTTTTTGGTTATAAAGTTTAAATTGTTTTATTGAATACTGGTAATAAAATGGTTTGTAAAAATTGTAGATGAATAGATGAATTCTTGGATTGGATCAATAAATAAAGAAGTTCATAGTTGATTAGTACTTAGTTATTAGATTTAATTGGTATCATTAGATATTATATTTTTGGCTGAATTTGATTTGTTTAGTTGTGGTTTGATATAAGCAGATTAGAAGAGCTGATGATTTCAAGTTCACGAGAGTAACAAAACAGATTGTAATATATAAGAGTTAAAAAATAAATTACAATATTCTGCTTTTGATAAGTTATATTAATATATAATGGAGAAGAGAAAAGTCGAAAAAAACATTCTTAGTGGCATTTCTGATAACCACTTATGTGTTCAAGTTGATTGTTGTAATGAAGAAAATAGAAAAGTTAGAATTACAAGTTTAGAAACCAGTAATTGTAAATTAGAAAAAAGTACTATATCTACATCAACTCATGATAATGTATCTGAAATGTTTTTATTGAAAACACCATATTCAAGGATAAAAAGGTACCGTGAGAAAAAAAAATTGAAAAGAGGATTATTTATTGAAAATGATAGCAGTTTAAAAAAATGTAGTAATTATGTTAATTCAAATCACCAGTCTCCTAATAAATTTAGTGACATACCTTCTGTTACTATTGATAATGATAGTTTTAATGCTAATCATAAAAATCCTTTAACATCTGCTCATGTTAAAGAAAAGCTTATAGTTCCTGAAACAGATATGCTAAATGAAGATCATATTTGTACATTTGGAGAATTGTTGAGGACAGAATCAAGTTCAACTTTTAATATGCAAAGCACTTTGTATTTATATACGCTTCAGTATGTTATCCCGATTCAATCTAATCAAAAGCATATTCAAATACTTTTTAGTGGTCCTTATAATTCTGGTCATTGGATTTGCTCTTATTATGATGGAATAAGAATTTATATTTACGATAGTCTCAATAATGGATGCTTAAATGAGGACCAAAAAAATTATTTAATCAAATTATATCCTTTTAAACCACCAGTAGTTTTTGCAGCTGTCCATCAACAACGGGTAGGTAGTGTGGACTGTGGAGTTTTTGCAATAGCGTATGCAACATCTTTATATTTTAATACGATGCCTAATACTCTTGATTATGTTTATGATGAAATGAGACAACACATCAGATTAATGTTTACAAATAATCATTTAATACCTTTTCCCGCGAAACCAACTACTAAGATCAGATGTTTAATTGTTGAGTCTGATTGGGAAAGGCTTTCAATCGATCGAGCTACAGAACTTCAGCCTAGAAAAGTAAAACATTCATATATACCTAAGGCTCATACTGGCAATATTGTTAACCGAGATTTATCCATTACATATTCAGAAATTGTACAAAAAAATATTTCATCAAACTTAGAAAATAATAAAAGTACAATTTTAGATAGTAGGAATTACAAATCTTATCAAAATACACCTGCCATATCCAGTGGAATAGTTTCTTTAGAGAATGCCTCAACAGCATATACATTGAAGACACCATATAAAAGGATAAAAAAGTATCGTGAAATAAAAAAATTAGAACAAAAGTCAGTTAATAAAAAAAGAGATAGCAATATTTATAACTCACAGACCAATATTATTTCCACTTCTGATAACCACTCATCTGTTCATGTTGATTCTAATAGAGATAACGAGAAACTTGAAATTACATGTTCTGAAAAAAGTAATTGTAATTCTGAAAAAAGCACTACGTCTACATCTTTTGAAATATCATCTCATGATAATGTATCTGAAATGTTTCCATTGAAAACACCATATTCAAGGATAAAAAGGTACCGTGAGAAAAAAAATTGAAAAGAGGATTATTTATTGAAAATGATAGCAGTTTAAAAAAATGTAGTAATTATGTTAATTCAAATCACCAGTCTCCTAATAAATTTAGTGACACACCTTCTGTTACTATTGATAATGATAGTTTTAATGCTAATCATAAAAGTCCTTTAACATCTGCTCATGTTAAAGAAAAGCTTATAGTTCCTGAAACAGATATGCTAAATGAAGATCATATTTGTACATTTGGAGAATTGTTGAGGAGAGAATCAAGTTCAACTTTTAATATGCAAAGCACTTTGTATTTATACACGCTTCAGTATGTTATCCCGATTCAATCTAATCAAAAGCATATTCAAATACTTTTTAGTGGTCTTTATAATTCTGGTCATTGGATTTGCTCTTATTATGATGGAATAAGAATTTATATTTACGATAGTCTCAATAATGGGTGCTTAAATGAGGACCAAAAAAATTATTTAATCAAATTATATCCTTTCAAACCACCAGTAGTTTTTGCAGCTGTCCATCAACAACGGGTAGGTAGTGTGGACTGTGGAGTTTTTGCAATAGCGTATGCAACATCTTTATATTTTAATACGATGCCTAATACTCTTGATTATGTTTATGATGAAATGAGACAACACATCAGATTAATGTTTACAAATAATCATTTAATACCGTTTCCCGCGAAACCAACTACTAAGATCAGATGTTTAATTGTTGAGTCTGATTGGGATAGGCTTTTAATCGATCGAGCTGCAGAACTTCAGCCTAGAATTAATAATACAAACGAGCAGCATTTTTCGGCAACATCAGACATTGATTATGCTCATGATGTGTTAACAACATTTCAATTTAAAATAAATGATGAAAGGCAAGTAATAAATCGAGAAAAGGAACATTTAAAGCGTAAATCACTTGTTACGAATGCTAACTGTCTAAACAAAAAAATATATTATGATCATTCTTTGAATGTGAATAAAGAAAGTGAAAGAGATTTAATGTTAGATAGTAATAATTGCAATCCTCAACACCAGTTGTCTTTTACATCTGATAAATTGTCATCCATTGATATAAATACTGTTCATTTGCAAGAAAGTCAAAAAAATAATATGACTCATAAAGCTGTTTGTTCTGAACATTATCTTGGTAAAATGAATCATTTATGTCAGCATTGTGAGGCCAAACATTTTAAAGATGAGCAAATTCAGGGTAAGAAAAATTCTTATAATGACTGTTGTAGTCATGGTGGTGTAAACTTGCAATCAAAAGACTATCCACATGAATTAAGAATATTGTTAGATGGTTCACATCCTAAATCTGTTCACTTTATAAAGCATATAAGATGTTATAATAGTTCTTTTGCTTTTGCTTCATTTCATGCAAATATTGTTGACTTTAATAGTAGAAGACGAGGTCCATATTGCTTTAAAATTCAAGGTCAAATATATTATCAAATAAATAATGCATTATATCCAGAGACTGGAGTTGATCCAAATTTTGGTCAGTTGTTTATTTATGATGCTGATGATGCAGTTCAGTATAGGTTGAATTACAATGATAACTTAGATTCAGAAATTCTATATAGTATAGAAAGTGTTATGAGAACACATAATGCTTTTACCAAATCTTTTAAAATGATGAAAGAAGTTATTGATATTGAAACAGAGCTAGCTAGAGCATCTAATCAAAAAGTTCCTGAACTAAAATTATTATTTACTTTAAAAAAAGGGATGGATCGAAGAAGATATAATTTTCAGAGAGTGGATGAAGTAGCGGCTATTTTTAATACTAATTCAGAAGGAGAAGTGCCAGAGTCTTATGTAACAGTTCATAACAAAGCAACTAAAGAATTACAATTAGTAAGTAGTTTAGATCCTAATGTTGAACCTTGGATTTATCCAATTTATTATCCATATGGAGTTGAAGGTTATAATATTAATATGATTCGTAGTGATAGTCACCAAAGACGAAAGAAAGTGAGAATTTCAAGAGCTGCTTTTATTAAATATAAAATAGCAATAAGAGATAAGGAGTTCAATCCGTTCTTACATGGTGGCAGATTATTTCAACAATGGTTAGTTGATAATGCTGTTAAAAATGAAAAAGATAAACTTTCTTTTTGTGCAAATAATCAATCTCAATTGAGATGTGAAAGTTATAAAGGATTAATTGATCACATGCAAAATGTTTCCAATGAAAATGAAATGCATATTGGAAAAATGGTTATTTTACCATCTACATTTATTGGGTCCCCTCGTAATATGATGCAACAATATCAAGATGCTATGGCTATTGTTCGAAATCACGGTAAACCTGACTTGTTTATTACAATGACATGTAATCCACAATGGACAGAAATACAAGAAAATTTGTTACCAAATCAAACAGCATCTGATAGACCTGATATTGTAGCAAGAGTGTTTTCTTCAAAAGTGAACCATTTAATTGAAATTATTGTTCGTCAAAGGTTGTTTGGAGATGTTAAATCTTTTGTTTATGTAATAGAGTTTCAAAAAAGAGGATTACCGCATATTCATATGCTGGTTATATTGAAAGAAAATTCTAAAATTTTATCACCAGAAAGTGTTGATCATTTTATTTCAGCAGAAATCCCAGACGAGAATATTAATTCCACATTGCATAAAATAATAATGCAAAATAATATTCATGGACCTTGTGGAGATTGGTGTTTAGTTGATGGTAAATGTTCGAAACACTTTCCTAAAGATTTTCAAGATGACACAATAATGGGAGATAATTCCTATGTATTATACCGTAGAAGGGATACAGGCAAGACATATGAAAGACCAAATGGATATATTGTTGATAATAGACATGTTGTTCCCTATTGTCCAGTGCTTTCACAAATATTTAATTGTCATATTAACGTCGAAATTGTTTCAAGTATTAAGTCTGTTAAATATTTATATAAGTATATTTATAAAGGTCATGATGCAGCTTCTATTATTATTACAAATGTTGATGGACAAAATAGTATCGATTACAACGAGATACGTCATTATGAAGAAAACAGATATGTCGGTCCAGTTGAAGCAGTATGGAGAATTCTTAGTAAACCTTTAGCAAAAAAGAGTCACAGCGTTAATCGGTTACCTATACATTTACCAAATGAGCAGAATGTAATTATTCGTGAAGGACAAGAAAATCGTGAGATTTCCTTTCTTTTAGAAAAGAAAACAAAACTGTTAGATTATTTTGATTTGAATAAACGCGATAGCAATGCTCATCGGTATTATTATTCAGAAATTCCCGAACATTACACATGGATAAGTGATTCTCTTGAATGGCGACCAAGAAAGCGTTTTGACAATATAATAGGGAGAATATATTCTGTTAGTCCAAGTCAAATAGAATTATTTCATTTGAGATTGTTGTTGCTTACAACAAAAGGTGCTACTTCATTTAAAGATTTAAAATCAGTTGATGGAGTAATACATGAAACATTCACTTCTGCTTGTTTAGCATTAGGCTTAATAGAAGACGATCATGAGTGGGTTAGAACAATTGAAGAAGCTGCAGTATGGATGATGCCTCAGTTACTTCGTCGATTATTTGTTAGAATTTTAATACATTGTAATCCTGTTGAACCCAATGAATTGTGGGAACGATTTAAAGGTATTATGTCAGAAGATTATCGAGGAATTGAGAGTGTTGAAGCAGAAAATAAAGCTTACAGAGATATTAAAACATTATTGAGTAATGAAGGATATCGATTAACAGATTTTCAAGGATTGTTAGATATAGAAGATGAACAGAATATTTCAGAAAAAAATAATGATTATAATGTTCAAAGACACATTATTTTAGGAAATGAGAAATACATGCAATTAAATGTAAAGCAAAAAATTGTTGTTGATTATGTACTAAAATCAGTGCATGATTCTGTTACAAGTAATTGTAGGTGTATATATGTTGATGGTCCAGGTGGTTCTGGAAAAACTTTTTTATATAATACTTTGTGGCATTTATTAAGAAGTAGAGGAAAAAATGTTTGTAACATGGCATTTACAGGAATTGCTGCAACTTTATTACCTAATGGTAAAACTGTTCATAAAATATTAGGTTTACCTGTTCCTCTGTATAGTGATTCATCTTCAAGTATTAAAGTGCAATCAAAAGAAGGAACCTTTTTAAAAGGTACTGATGTATTCATTTGGGATGAAGCACCAATGGCTCCAAAATATGCTTTAGAAATTATGGATAGATTATTAAGAGATGTTATGAAATCAAATGAACCTTTTGGTGGAAAGGTATTGATTTTGGGTGGAGATTTCCGACAAACATTACCAATAAAAGAACGAGGCACAAGATCAGAAATTGTTAATTTATCAATAAAAAACAGTAAAGTTTGGAAGCATTTTAAAAAATTCAATTTATCAGAAAATATGAGAGTTTTGCCCGAAGAAACTGCATTTACAGATTTTTTATTAAAGGTTGGAAATGGTGAATTAAATGATATAAATGATAATATTGAATTGCCGGAAAAAATAATTCAAGAAGGAAATGTAGATATTGTTGACGATGTGTATGGTGATTTAATACGGGAAAATAGGTATCAAGAAATAGCAAAGTGTGCAATTTTAGCACCAAGAAATGTTGACGTTGATGAAATTAATAAAAGAGTTGTGCAATTGTTGAAAAGTGATAAAGAAAAAATTTATAAAAGTATTGACTCCACTGAAAATTGTGACAATGGTGATTTTAATGACGTGATATTACCTGAATATTTAAATGGTCTATCACCACCGGTTTTACCACCTCATGAATTACATTTAAGGATTCATAGCGTGGTGATGCTCATAAGAAATCTTAGTATCAATGAGGGTTTATGTAATGGAACAAGATTATTAATCTTAGATTTATTAAATAACGTAATTAAATGTCAAATTTTGACTGGAGATAAGTGTGGAAATATTGTCTTTTTACATCGTATAACTTTGTATTGTGAGAATGTTTATCCTTTTGTTTTTAAAAGAAGACAATTTCCTATAAAACTGGCATTTGCAATGACTATTAATAAATCCCAAGGACAAACATTCAATAAGATAGCAATTGATTTAAGGAGAGATGTTTTTAATCATGGACAATTATACGTAGCGTTATCTAGAGTACGATCATTTGATTCAGTTAAAATATATTTAGGAGACCACAGAAGCAATAAGTTAATAAAAAATTATGTTTATACTGAAGTTTTGGAACAAACTGGTGATATTGAAAATAAGTCTATTTTTGAAAGTTCATAAAAATTTGTATTCTGATCAATGAAAGATATTTATTGCAACTTATAAATTTTAAAATGTTACATTTTGTTTTCTTTTTATATTTTCTAAAAATATTTATTATTTATATATATATATATATATATATATATATATATATATATATATATTTGTAAAAAAGTATTTATTTTGTACTTAGATGTGCTGTCCCATGGAGTTAACAACTGTTTTATCAGTCGACAACTAAAAAGAAAAATTTTAGTCTTCTCTTTTAATCATGCTGGCGTTGTGGGACTGAAATCGTAACAAAAGCAGCCTGTAAACGTCAAAGAACATTTCTTTACAACTATTTAATTTGTCTAAGTTAATGTTGTGTTATCATTTTTCTTCAAGACACATATTAGGTTGATTTTTAATAAAATATCATCAATTTTATGTTTTCTCATCCAAAAATTTTCCCAGTCAATTCTCCTTGAAATTTTAAATTAATTAAAATTTCAATTTGTTTGGGTACTTCCTCATTTACGGTATTTAAAAAATAAATGTTGAAAAAACTATTAGAAATACAACTTTTAATCCCTTAGTTTAAATAAACATGTTTAATTAAGGGGATATTCCAGTTCAAAACAAGAAAAAACAAGGCCTTTTTAGTATATATATTATTAAAATAACTATGACATTTATTTATAAAATTCCTTTTACATATGACAAATAATTTATTTAAGATTATGCAAAAAAAAATTTTCATTTTTACTTCAAAATGGCGGCGATATACGCCATTTTCAAAAATGTCCATTTCTTATGGTAAGATCGATTTCAAACTTTCTAAAATAGATAAAACCAAAAACGAAGTGACATTCTCTTCGTTAGATATTTCTTTAGGTGTGGAACCTCAAAAAGAGGAATTTTTTCCCTTCTTTTTAGAGTACTTTTCCTCCAAAATATGCAAAAAAGGTGTTTTTATTCAGAATTTCTCTTATAAAAAAGGGGAGTTGGAAATTTTCCAGTTTTTGAGGTTCTACTTATAGACATGATGACAATGAATCAAATGCCGTTTGATTTTTCAAAATCGCTTCATAAGAACTCGAGATATCACTCTTAAGGGGAGGTTCTCATTGCGGGGGCCAAAATAAACACAAATTTTGACAATTTTTTGCGAGGAACGGCTATGACTTAACGATGTAATTTTTTTTCTAAATAAAGATACATTCTTGAACTTTTAAAATATATATTTTATTTTCAAAAAAATGCAAAATGGCGGCCAATATGGCGCATCTAGAAAATAATGTTTTTTTAAATAGGAAAAACGGTGGGCATTCTACACTGCGCAATTTTTAGTCTAAAACAAAAACTCAAAATTTTTTATAAAGGTGACATCCTAAAGAATAGGTTATACCTAAAAAATAGTTAAAAAGTTAATAAAATGACAAAATGTCGGACACATTTTTAAAAAAGCTTCGTTTTTGCATTATTTTTCCATATTTGACCTCTTGTAAAAATCTCTTTTGTTAACAATTTTATCATATTATAGGTATAACCCCAGTAGAATTTAGTTACCTTCAATTAGCCGCAAATCCGAAGTTGATTGATTAAATAGTTTAGACGCTACGATGCCCACCAGTTTGAAAAATCTTGTTTCGAGAAAAACGCGTTTAAAGTTTGAGAAACATTTTTGTGCAATAATTGTATTCTTTGCAATTCTTTGTCTAATTTGCGTATATGATAAATATCTATAGGTATTTTGGGTCGCTCTTTACGATTCTGAGGTCAGATTTGCAAAATTTTTAAAAATTGATTCGATTTGCCTGACATTTGTTACTCAGTGCTCGGGACGGCGATGAGTTCAAGACTCCATTAAAACGAAAATATTCTTCGGATCAAAAAATCACTATACACACATATTCTACATATATATAGCTTTAAAAAATACAATAAAAAAGAAATCAATTTTTTTGACTCCCGCAATGGGAACCTCCCCTTAACAGATCAATAAAAGACATTTTGAGATAAACGCACTTAAAGTTTTGATTGCTAAGTTTGGACAATTTTCTAAAAAAAATCATCGGATTGGCTTGAAAATCGTTACTCGGGTGTTTTTGGGGTCGCTGATTACGAATATGTTATTAGATTTTTCAAATTCAAAATAGAAAATCTAATATGGCCAACAATTTTTTTTTTAAATCACCGAATTTGCTTGAAAATCGTTACTCGGGGGTTTTTGGAGTAGTAGATTACGAGTATGATAATAGATATTTGAAATTCAAAATTGATTAATTTTAAAAAATTGCCCGCCATATTGGATCCACCATTTTGAATTTTTAAAAACTGATGTCAGATTCGTAATCAATAACCACGAAAACCCCCAAGTAACGATTTTTAAGCAAATCCGATTATTTTTTAAAAAAATTGGCCGCCATATTGGATCTGCCATTTTGAATTCTAAAAATCTAATATCATATTCGTAATCAGCGACCCTAAAAACTCCCGAGCAACTATTTTGACGCAAATACACTTGATTTTTAATTTTCTCTTCCGCCATATTGGAACCGCCATTTTGAATTTCTAAAATTTGATATCTAATTTATGATCAGCAATACCAAATACATTTTTGTTTGTCATTTTACAAAATGCAAATAAGAAATCATTGAAATCATTCGATTGGGTTCTGCTTATCCGCATATAAAAGCATCTTTGACATGCCGAAGAATAAGTTAATATGCATAACTTTTGTTTTACTTCGAATTTTGCAATAAAATTTTTGGAGAGTATTCTTGACACTATAAGAAATCCAAAATAAAAAAAATAAAAAATCAATTTTTTTTACAATTTGAACTGGAATGTCCCCTTAAAACAGTAATTTGTAGAATTCAGGTATAGAATATCATGCGGTTAAATTACTATGGAATATATTAAAATTAATTACTTTTTCATTTCTGGACTATCTTTTATGCTCAAAAATAAAAGTTCCATGTATATGTCTTTGCTTTCGATTTATCGCTTCTCGAGGTTGCTAATCGCAATTCGAGTTTCTTATTGCAAACTGATAATTTCAATATTCGATATTGCTCATGCCTTCATGTTTTTTCTTGTAGGGTGGCAGTTTTTTTTAATTTTGCACTACAGTACAGTATAGTTGTTTTTGACACAACCTAGGAACAGCATTGTGTTGCCTACATTATTGTCTCTCCATTATTTTGACTTCATATCTCGAATCTACTGTGACGTCACAAATGAAACAGTCTAATTTACTTGATGTATTTTACTTGCCCAACACTGAGTGTATGTAGCATGACCTGACATCTGGTGGAAAACCTCTAAAGTTATCCATTACTACCAGCATCTAGCGATCTTTATTATTCATAATATAAGGACTTGTGTAGTGTACCTTGACAGTATAGTGAGAAGAATCTGATTGTGTGAACCGCATGTGCATTTCTCTAGACAAAAATTTTGTAATCGACTTACATCGTAAGGTGAGTAAACAATTTGGTATATAACTATAAACAATTTCATTTAAATACGCATGATAATAATTATTAATGTTTTATTTAATTATAAACTATAATTATTTAACGTTATATTAGTATTTTACGTATCTTGAAAAACTTTGAATTATATTTTTATAATTGGCTATTTTAAATAACTAGAGGTTTAAAATATTAAAAATTAGAATCTATAATGTTTGTCAATGGTATATATTTCTAATTTATTTAAAAAATATACAACTATTTAATAAATTTATACGTTAATTTTCATATCTATACATGTAACTCAACACACATGCATATATATATATATATATATATATATATATATATGTTTGTTCAAGTGATATTTTGAGGACATTTTTTTTATATAATCAATAGTTTGAGGACATTTCTGATAGTTTGGGGACAGTCCTCGAACTACTTTGTGTATAACCAATAGTTTGAGGCCATTTTCTATACAAAGAAAGAATGCATTATTTGAGGACAATAAGCAGATTGTAAAGAGCTAATAGATGGCAGGTCAATGCTCCTTTTAACTAAGTTAAAGTTCCCTGAAGTAAAGATTGTGTATAAAATAATGTAGCATTTAAAAATCTTATAGTACAACAAGACAATGAGATTGTAATAGTTAAAATAAAACTTTTAAAATCAAATAATTAAAGAACTATTTAAAAAAGCAAAACCTAAAAGTAATTTAAAGGAAAAATGATAAATCAAAATTAATTTATCTGCAAATGTCAAAAGCTAAATATAAACCTAACCTAAAAAATTTTAACAGAATCACACTTTCCCAACTTATCAATGGTGTTACTTTTGCACTTTTGAAAATATTAAATGTGGTTTTAACTAAACTAATATACCGTAACATGACATTACAGATTTATATGTATGTGAATTATGAAAGAAACAATGTCCCCAAAATATGCCTTACCCTCATATATACAATATTATATAAATTATCTTATTTTATAGATGGCTTATTTGAACTAAATATTTTTGAAAATGATAAAGGTTAAATATAAACGTGATCTTAAAATAATCAAAATAAACAAACTTTTTTTAGCTAAATAATGTAATTTTACAATTTATAAAAAATTTGGTTTAATTTTCATTCTATTAGTATAATCTCATATGCGACTCAAAAACTACATATTTTTAAAAATTAAAGAAAAATATTTATTACAATATAGTGTAAAATCTTATGTTATATAATAATTGCTTTTATTATTCTATCTATTTAACATCTGTTCATAAGGGGCAGTTTAGTAAAAAGAATGTCCCCAAATTATGTGTTACTCTGATTTATACCTGTGTCCATCATAACCTCAAATTGTTATGGAGTTAAATTATCAAACCACTAAACAAAGATATATTAGAGTCCTTAGTATATGTTCAATGCACAAAATATGCCAAACTATGCATTACTCTGATATATATCTCAAACCAACAAAAAAAATTGTTATAAAGTAAAAAGGCTTACCTAAACTCACCGTATTAACAAGAGCTGAAGGTTAAATATAAACGTAGCATTTAATTTAATTAAATAAGCAATATTTTCAATATTAAGATGCTGTTATTTTCGCATTTATAAAAAATATAATTAAATTTTTATTTTATTATAACAGCAAAATATATGTGACTGATAAAGAGAATATTTAAGAAATTTTTAAAAATAGTTTTATATTAGTAGAAAATTGTGTAAAAACTTTGTGTTATATAAATTTTTGTTTAAATTATTCTACTTAATCAACTCCTGTGTACCAGAGACATGTGTAAAAAGTATAATCAAGATTAGTCATTAAATATATATATTAAAATCCAGAGTTTATTACTGGAATTAATATAAATCTAAAAAGAACTAACCATTTATATTTCAAATTCGGAAAAGTCTTTCTTCTGCATAACTACCTCATATTACTATTTAAATACCAAGAATGTCCTTAAATTATTCATTACTCTGATATATACCCCAAACAGAAGTAGCCTATAATTACATTACAGCAGCTAAATATGAACTTATTATGAAAATTGTCAACATATTCACACTCCCATAATATTTTGATGCCGCCTTTTAATGAGTAAACTTAAATCTTTTTTTTACAAATTGCTTATGCAGTGAAATATCCCAAGCCTTACAGCACCGAGATATTCTAGGACCTTCCTGGAACGTCCTGAAAATATTTTATATAATTTATATAATATTTATAAAATATTTTATTTTTTTATATTTGCTATGTGGGAATGATCCCATCATTATATGTAGAAAATTGAAATTTTATACTCAGATAATGTAACATTTTCTATATATAGGAAATGGTTTCTAGATACTAATATTCTAATATTTATTTCACCTAATGTCTCTGAGTTAAGCACTAGTCTGATGTATACATCATATACATATATTTAAGTATAAGAAAGTTTTTAAAAAATTAAAAATATTAAATAATGGCGGAGATAAGGCGAGTCTCGCGAGCCAGTTTTTGTAGTGCATGGCCGTGCAGCATACACACTAAACAGTACAATTTTTATCCGAAACCTATACAACAAATTTTTCCTTAAACTATATTAAATTACCTACGACATGATGCAGCTTTTCGACATTGACGATGTATTCCGCCAACGAAGAAGAGTTGTAGTTGTAGTTACGATCTTTTTTTTGTTGTTGATTGTTTTATACGCTTCGTTTATAAGCTAAATTACAATTTCTATTTGTGTTTAATATCAGATTCAGTACCGAGACAAAAAATTCAATAGTAAGTTTTTTTTTCTCTTACAAAAGGAGGGTGTAACGAATATTGATATTTCATTGTCAAAGGCTAATAACCGTCAATGTATAATATCAATAAAAAATAGAAAAAAAGATCGACGAAATTAATCGTTCTGTTTCAGGACTAAACGACTAAACTTTCTAGGTAAAGAAATAACTACCACAAGAGCAAAATCCGAAGAGGACAATATCTCTCAAATCCCATCGTTTTTAATAATCACTTCGAAGACATAACATTTTAAAAGACATCGGCCTTTTTAGATAAGCTATTTTGAATTAAGAATAACCGACATCTATTAAAAAAAACTATTAAAAAAACAACTTTTTATTGATTAGAGTATAATTAAAATTCTTACAAAAGAGCTTACGATTGCGATTACAGTAACGTTTCTATTCTGTTTTAGCCTTAAGTAATTTCGAAAGATATCTTCAAAGAAAGAAAAATTTTCTTAACTTTAACAAAGTTGAAGGCAATACCTAAATTTTCATTTAAAATCTTCTTTTTGAAATATATTGTGAAAAAGTGATCGTGAATGTTCTTTAGATAATGAAATGATGTGTGTAATTGTCTTCAAATAGATATATTGAGAATTTTGACCTCCACATTTTCAAAATTTTGACGTGAAAAAAAGTTTTTGTTGACAAATTCGGATTCAAAACCCCAGAAACTAAAGGAAATAGTTTTAAGATACAAAACAATGAAACATTGTTTTTGCAGGCTTCTGTAAAAAATGTATGTTTTTTCAAATTTTACAAAGTCAAATATATGACTCCAAAATATTTATTCAGTTTTCATTATGTCCATGAATTACACATTACTTTCATATAATAAAAAAGTACCGTTAACCTTCTTTAAAAAGTAAATCTAATTATTTATTTAATAAAATAGAATTTACAACATCAGAATTTTAAAAATATTTTTGTTTTTGAAATTAGTCACCAATCAGAAATTATTCTTAAAACTGTTTATTCACTTCACCTAATGTCTCCGAATTATGCATTAGTCTGATGTATACACCCAAAGAACATAACCTACAAAATTTTGTATACTGTCGGAAATTTTAACTCAAATACAATGTTTTTGTTGAACATTTTAAAAAAGTTTGACTAAAAGTTTCTGAGTTATAAGCAATTAAAAAACAAGGAGTCAGGGTTGAAAATTGTTATTAGTGTTTTAGAATGACATTTAGAAATAAGAATATGAACCACGAAATTAGAATCAAATGTAGTAAACTTATTTTGTCTTTAGAATATTTCCTACATATTTATTACTTTCTTTCTATTAATACCGCAAAAAATGTTTTGCTGATTGAATAAAGCTAGTTGCACTGTTCGGTGGCTGCCTGCCAACGCACAAGAGTTAGAAAGATAGTAAACTCAAATTTGAATTTGCTCTCTTATTTATTCTTGTATGTTGCCAGGTAAAGGCCAACGCAGAATAGATCTGTAACCGGAACCGCAATCGTAAGCGTAACCGTAAGAATGAGTTAAAGAAGGATAGGTATATTGTTTATCCTTCTCTAACTCATTCTTACGGTTACGCTTACGATTGCGGTTCCGGTTACAGATCTATTCTGCGTTGGCCTTTACTCCTGCAGGCAGGCGGCCAGCCAGCTAAGCTGTAAAGGCCTTTCTCAAATAGGTTTCCCAAAGGCTGCGTTTGTCTACGAAGGACTGCGTTGCGTTGATTTCAGCACATTTTGACATAGCAACTTACGCACACGTGGACAAATGCAGAGGTTTAGAAATCTATTGGAGAAAGGCCTTTAGAGCTCTATAATACTATTTAGCAAAATAATCGAGTTTACGTTTGTCTGTCGTTAACCTAAATGCTAACACAACATTATCTAAAACAATCTTATTTTCTACAGGGCCTATTTAAACTGTATATTCTTGCAAAAGCTAACGGATTAATATAAACGTAATACTAAAATAATCAAAATAAACAATTTTTTTAATATCTAAATAAATTTATGCTTTACTCTTATTTAAGGTCTAAGCAGAATAAAACGGGAAGCGAACGCAAGCATGAGATGAAGAAGGATAGAAATATCGTCTGCTTCTTTTTAATTCATGCTTGCGTTTACTTCCCGTGTTATTCTGCTTAGGACTTTATATCTGTGTCCAACATAAAATTAAATTGTATTGCAGTTAAAGGCTAAAGCAGAATAGAAACGTAATCGGAACCTCAATCGCAAACGGATGAATGGATGGATTTTGACGAAACTGGGTATACAGGGATTCTTGAGACCGCTGATTACGAGTCTAAAGTCAGATTTCAGAAAATCCAAATGGCGGGTCCAAAATTTCGGTCGAAATGATTTGAAAAATGATGATTTTTTAAAAGTTTCTTAAAAGTTTATAGATTTTTATGAAACTTGGTATCTGAAGGTTTTTGAGGTAGCTGATTACGAATCTGGTGTTATATTGGCAAAATTGAAAATGACAGATCTGAAATGGCGGAAATTTTTCTTTGAATTGATGAATTTTTTGATCCAGGGGTTTTTGAGGTCGCTGATCATGAATTGTATGTCAGTTTTTAAAAATTCAAAATGGCGACGAAAATTATTTGAAAATTTTTGGATTTTTGTGAAATTTGGTATCTAGGGGTTTTTGAGGTCGCTGATTATGAATCTGAAGTCAAAATTCAAAAATTTCTAAATTGTAGACAAATGTTTTAAAAATTTTTGTTTTCAATGACACTTTGTTGTTATTTAGGAACAAGTGCCTACTACGAATAGTACTTTCGTTTAAATAGTGTTGGAATAACTTTTTACTTTTTTTTGCGTCAAGGGCACTTCCCCGCAGTGACGGTGGGCAAAGGAGATTGGCCGCTATCCGGCTAAGTCCCTGGTTAGCGGTTTAGATGCCGTCATGGCAGACACATGTAAGAAGAGAATCACGAGACAGGGTTTCGGAAACCCAGAATCGGCGGCTGGTCAGGGTGAAAAAGCGGGCCTGCAGGCGTCGTCATTCAACGACCGCAGCATTACATTGGTTAGTGACTTGGCCAATATAAAGTATGATGCTACAAGAAGGAAGTCTGAAAATGAATTGCAATCTCATGATTGTAGTGAGAATCGTGACATATTTACTATGTTTTTAGTAAATATAAAGTTGGATCTTTGAGAAACAAAATTGATGATGTAATAAGTAAAATGTATGAAGAAATTTTTGGATTTGAAATCGATCAACGATCAAACTGGGTTCCGCATATAATTTGCAATAGTTGCAAAAAATTTTTTAAATGTTATGAAAGAGATAGAAATGGGAAGTCTATTAAATACTCAAGTCCAACAATCTGGGAGAAACCGCGATGTAAAGAAAATTGCTATTTTTGTGCGAATGAAATAAAAGGATATAATATTAAAAACAAGTGTAAAAATTATTTATATCATGGTTTCATCAGTGACAGCACCAATTTCGAATTCATCAAGTAAGGTTGAAAAGGAACTAACGGATTCTACCGTTCCGGAAAATACCGAAAAAATGGAGGTTGAGGAAGCGTCTGATGCATACGAATCTGAGACAGATGATGACGACTGCGAAACAAACTTTCTTCCTTACACTGAAAAAACAAAAATCCCATCATTAATTTCACAGACAGAATTAAATGATCTTGTTCGACACTTAGGTTTACCTAAAGATGGTGCAGAATACTTAGGTTCATTTTTAAAGAAAAACATCTTGTTAAACCAGGCACTAAAGTTTCTTTTCATCAAGAGCGTGACTTAAAATTTCGTAAATATTTTACAAAAGATAACAAATTCAGCATTAGTATTTTGTTCTGATGTCGATGGACTTATTGATGAACTGAAACCAAACAGTTATAAACCTGAAGACTGGAGACTTTTTATAGAGTCCTCTAAACGAAGCATAAAGGCAGTTTTGCTCCACAATACGAATGTTTAATGTACATGATCTTGTAATTTAAATAGTCATGACTAACTGTTAGAACAGTTGCGGTAATTGGAACAGTGAAAATGTACATGATCATTTTTATAAAAATTTATCTATTGTAGTGTCTAGAATTATTCTTAGGGTGCGTTTATACGACTGTTGGAAAAAAAATTTTTACAGAAAAAATCAGAATTGCGTTCACACGCCCAGCTGAAGGTGATTCTGCAACAAATCACATAAGCGTTTGCCTTGAATCAAACAGGGAAGATAGACATGCAAGTTATTGTAGAAACACCTTCAACTCGGCGTGTGAACGCAATTCTGATTTTTTCTGTAAAAATTTTTTTTTCCAACAGTCCTATAAACGCACCCTTAGACAATGGCACTGACAAACTAGAGTGGTCCTCGCTAGATCGATTAAGCGCCTTAATCGTTAAAAAACTAGATATTGAACTACAGTCGATATTCATGCCTGAGACGAGGCTAGTGCGAATGTAGATATTTCCTAGAATGCATCTCCACCGAATAGCACCTCGGTGTGAAGAGTTCTTCTAGGGCGCCATCTCTGACGAGAAAGGTGCTCCTCAACTCAACAAAAATAGTAGGGGTAATATGATAATCGGGAAAATTCGGAAAATGATAGTCAGTCCACGATGAACCTTCTGTAAATTGACACTGTCTGACAAGTGTATATATATGTTATTTTAATACAGGCATATAATTTTCTTACAAACTTCAGAAGTGGGATAACTATGCCCAAAACGCTCTTGAATAAACTGTGAAAAAGAAGTGTCTAAAGCTATATTTTTTCGTCGTGGGAGGTAAAAGAAAATCTTAAGATAGAATTACCGCAGGTACCTCGTGTTTAGTGACCCGGTTCGGGTTTGGTTTAATTATGCTGAAAAGAGAATTCTGTTTTACTCTGAAGCTAATTAATAAAGTGCGCGAGTATCCGGTCAGTTCTGTCCGCGAGTTTGAATCGATTCGAATCAAAAACTTTTAAGTTACAGCAAATTTCGTGAATCGAGTTGAAAATTTGTGCAAATGGCGGATTTCAGTGGCATCATGTTTAATTCAATTAGTTCCTAAGAAGAACGTGGTGCGTCGTTTAAATCACATGAGTGTGCGCAAGTGTAATTGGCCCTAGTGCCAATTTTGAGTGTCACGTGATTCCGTATAAGAGTGTACTATAGATCCCAAGAAGTTTACGCTAACTGCCTTGAAGGAGGCATGTAGTAGTCTGAATATTTCCACGAGTGGGAGTAAGATAGAAATTATAAGGAGATTACAGGAGGCGGATCCTTCCGATCCTTGGGTGGGGATCGTGCCCATGCTAACGAGCGAACAAACCACTGATGAGACTACAAACAGGGACTCGGAAACGAATGAAGTTCCAGATCCAGCAGCTAACCGTTTGCCAGAAATACAGAGCCGAGACAGGGAAATTGAATCGTTGCGCAGAGAACAAGATTTAATGAAACGAGAACTTGAACTCGCTAAGCGAAAAATAGAATTTCTTCGAAATAGTTCCCCGCCACGATTCAGCAGTCGTCGGCTGGTACCAGTCAATAATCATCAGGGCATGCTTTTGTTCAGCAATCACCACTTTTTGTCAATGTCAATGCTATGAAGGACTTGTTGAGCGATTTCTCATGGGCTAAAATGGATTTTCGTAAATGAAAGGAATAATTTCAGATGCTAAGGTCTACGTATAATTTAAATCACGAGCATGGACGTGTATGGATTGCATCGAAATTAAAAGGCGAGATTAGAACCATGTTTGATAGACGCGAGGACCGATTAACTTTACGAAGGAAATTTGAAAACAGATCGTGGATACCTTCCGAATCGTTTACTGATTATTTCCATGAAAAAATCATATTATCCAATACGATCAATGTTGAAGAAGAAGAACTGGTGGATTATTTAATTGACGGTATACCGGATGTGTCATTAAGAAACCAGTCTAGGATTCATCGATTTGTGGTTACGCAGGGTCTCTTGACCGCTTTCGAAAAAGTTTCATTAAAAGGTGACACGAAAAGTAACCAAGAAGGTAGTTCAAATAATCCATCGAAAACTACAGTTTTGGAAAATGTTATGAAAAGCCAGCCAATGGTAGGAGAAAAACAAAACATTGTACGTTGCTTTAACTGCAGTAGAACCGGTCACATGGTGTCAAGCTGCAGACTTCCTAAGTTTTATTCTGCTTAGGTCGTTATGACGTCGGCGCGACGCGGCGGTGTATACGCGATTAGCGAGCTGAACACGCTGTAGTATATATAGATATACTCTATGCATGAAATACAATTTCTCGCGTTAGATTTTAAATGCTATCGTTACAAGTAAAAAACTAAACTTTATATACAAAGTAGTGTTGAATTTTTAAAATCTATAATTCTAGACATTTTAAAATTGTTCGTATTGATAAACTTTCCGTGCAGGTAGGACAAAAAAGTCCATTATCGAAAGTCAGAAATAGGAAACAAAATCGAAAGGACACCGTACACATATATGTGATATTCAGCCCCGGTAAATTTTTTTAAAACTTATCGCTTGCTGGGTGTAAAATCATGATACCTCGGATTAGCGTTGAAAAACATGATACCTCGGATTTGATTTGAAAAACATGACATATCGTCGTTTGGTTTGAAGAACATGACACGTCGAAACAAAAATTTTTTATTGAAATTTTGTTTGGTACCACTGACCGCGAAATTTAAAATGATTTGTTATATTACATTTTTAAAAAATATATGATAAGAGATTAAAATCAAAGTAAAATCTTGCACTTTACTCATATAATTTTAAATATTTCACGACATGAAATTTATTTTAATTCCCTATATTAAAGAACCAGTTGAGACTAGTAGAAATTGAACATGGATCTACTGGTGCCTACTGGTTTTAACTTCGAAATCCGATTTATGTAACTGAAATGAATATCCAATATAAAATTGAAATGGATTTATTCTGGATTGTCCTCTTCAATTTTTGTTTCAACCCCAGTAAAAAAAAACTAATTCAAATGAATTGAAACGAATTAACATTTTTGGTAGGCTCCAATTCGTATTTGTCACAAAGCGGGATTCACTCAAGCTCTTTGTATATTCAATTGAATTTAATTCAATATGTACCAATTTGTCCAAACGAATTCGCATTCGAAAGAAATGGCCAAGGAATGCATTGAATTCGTGCTAACGAATTGAAAAAAATTAAAGGCTCAAAACTTGTCCAGTGAATTGGTACGGATAGAAGGTTCGGAAGTTCAA